TGCGCACGCCCGCGCACCTGCCCGCGGGCACACACGCGCCTTTGATGCAGACTCGTATAATAGTGAAATGATTACGTGTGGTCACCGAACACTATCTGGAGGTAAATTAAGATGCGCCACATCATCATTTTGCAGTGCACCGATGCTATCTACCGTTGTATATTAGATGATATGGCTCATCTTAATTCACCTCCAAATGGTCCACTGACCGCATATAATAATTTCTTTCTCTTTGGCATTATTTGTAAAAAAAAAAAAATTGCTATCTACCGTTGTATATTAGATGATATGGCTCATCTTAATTCACCTCCAAATGGTCCACTGACCGCATATAATAATTTCTTTCTCTTTGGCATTATTTGTAAAAAAAAAAAAATCTACATAGTTTTAACTGATTGGAATCCGAACATACTGATTAAAGTCAATAATATCTCCCAATGTTGACTATTGCCTAAGTTATGACTCCGCCTTAACCGCATATTACATAAACAGTTACACCGGTACGTTCTATCCGCGGTAAATATAATATCTACTAAGTTAATTTTACTCCTCCGCGTCCGAGAATAAAATCTATTGACCGTCAGATCAAAATCTGACGCGTAAAAAATAACAGTAACGGATAACGATAAACAGATGGCGTGCAGCTCACCTTCATGCTGTACTCCTCCGGTCACGGGACCGCTACCAAAACCACAGGTCTCGAACCGGATAAGCCTTTCCTAAATCCTAAGCGCCAACAATAAAATCCCTAACCGCGCACAGTTGGCAAACTCCGCGTGGCACGCTGAGAACCGTTGGTTTAAATATGTTGACACGTGGTAACATCTGGCCCCGATGTCACTTTTTTTGGATAAGTTTATAGAATAATAGTTAATTATTTCCATTTTAATTATGATTAATTAGTTTTTCTCTCCATTTATAGCGCTCTCCAGGTTAGAGAACTAGTTCGGTTTGTGCGCCGCCGCCAACGACAGATCGCGGCCGCCTGGTAGTTCGCTGGAGTGTGTGGTGATAAAAGGAGCGATGTCGATTGCGTTGGAGATAGGTGGGGGGATCGGTGGCGCGGGATTCATCTGTGGAATTGGATGCGTGCCGATCTATGACTTGACGGAGATCGAGAAGGATCCGCCTCTACCGCTGGCGTCTCCTTCTTCGTCTTCGTTTGCGTCATCTTCGATCGGGGAAGAGAGCGATGGCGTGGGTCGAGAGTTAGAGGACGATGAGGGAGCCGGGATGGGGGAGGTGCAAAGCGCGTACAAGGGTCTGCTACAGGGAATGGAGTCTATGGAGGAATCACTGCCGATTAGGTGCTATATCTTGATCTTGTTTTTTTCCTTTTTTGATGTTTTTGTCTTTTTTTTGGTAAAGCTTGATTGGTTTTTTGTATTGAATAGTTGTATGGGATTAATTTAGAAGATCTATTTGAGTTCATATCTATTTTTTGCTTAATGTAGTAAAAATGACTTGTTATAATTATCAGGAATTATTTTCAGATGTTATAGAAGAAGTTAAATTTGTTTCTTTTTTTTGGGAAAATTTTTTGTTTCTTTTTTCAGTTAGCGTTGTATCATTTGATTGTCTTTTTCCTCCTTGAAATGGATGGCTTTATGGCTGTTCTTGGCACTCAACTTTCTTGTTTTTTTTTTTTTGGATTTTTGAATGATGAATCAAAATCTCTTAATTTAGTTGTGATTATGCTCCTATTTTTCTATTTTAGGAATCAAAGAATCTCTTAAGAGTCTCTTATAGAATATAGAATTAGGATGTCATTATCATTTTAATTATACGCCAAAATAGGTTTAGTAAATGAATTCTCGATTATGATTCCTTGTAATTATAAGCAATTATTTTGGCATAAACTATATGTAATTATCATAAATACAGTTTATTGGATACTTATTTTTTTCTGATAATTATAAGTTATGACATCCTAATCCTACATGAGACTCTTAAGAAATTCTTTGATTTCTACAAAAGAGAAAAATATATATATATGGGCTTGATCACATCTAAACTAACAGATCTTTGAAGCCCCATTATTCCTTTTTCACTATTCAAAATTCCAAGAAAAAACATGAGACCGAAGAGCCCAAAACAGCCATAAAACCATCTTTTTTAGGAGGAAAACCACAATATTCAAATGATATAACCCTACCCTAAATGAGAATACAAAAAAAAATTGATCCCTTCTATAATAACTCAAAATGATTATCTGAAAACAATAGCAAGTCCTTTTCTACTACATTAAGCAAAATAGATATACACTTAAATAGAACTTCTATACAATCCCATTCAAACTACATTGCCAATTTTCCTGCATAAAGAAGAGAATTTTACTGCCATCATGGATTCAATTGATATGACCTGTTTACTTTTAACAGGCTAGTTAGTGTTCTATTCAAAATTGAAGGAGATCCACATATGTTTAATATTTCTATATGTTTCTTTGTAATTTTAGTTAGTTTCTCACGATTAATGGAAAGAATAGTTAAACGTTCTATTTAATACTTTATTTATTTTTTCAATTAGGGGTCTTCTTAAACAGCTGAAGAACTTATTCAGAAAAAACCGAATTCAATTTGTTTTAGAGAATTTATAACTTTGTGCAATTGGCAATAATTGAGAGCTTCTTGTAGACAAACAATTATTAGAACCTGCTCAATTATGTTGATCAAATGAAAGACATACCTTTTTCATGTCATTTCATCTACTTCCAGACACTGCCTGAACTGCTAACAGGTATTAGTATTGACTGTAGACAATCATTGTGACCTCTTTAAGACACAGAGTCACAAAATACCTTCCATGAATAAGTTATAACTCATTAAAGAGATGATTATTACATAGTTTTAGTTAGTTCATGCATTAAAGCTTATGTTAGATAGCAATATTTTCTTCAAAATCCTTTATCACATATAAATACTATTGCATTATGTGAGTCACCCGGCGTGCTCTATGGAAGAAGCTCGTCTGTTATTTATTATTAAAAGCTTAGTATGTGTTGATTTCTCTCTTGTACCTGGACATGATCGTGGCTGTGTGGTTGGGACCTTTCACTTTTTGTTGTCAGCCCGCACTCTTATGTTAACCTACTAATTTCTAATAAATTACACTTCGGTGCTCGCTCTCTTAAAAAATAATTCTCTTGTACAGCATATCTGTCCTTTCAAATTCAGCAGCAGGCAAAAAGACAAACAAGAATATGAACATTACTCACTTTGACCTATTGGTTGAGAGCTAAGGCTACGAACTTAGAAGTTTTGGATTCAAATCTTGTGTATGCAATATGTGTGTGAGTCTGCTTTAATTGGCCTAAATGTCCCAAAAATGTCAGTGAGTATGTGAAGTTAGTGAAATTATTATGTGCAAATGTTGAACGCGGTCTATAGCTCAATGAAAATGTGCCACATCACCCCCTACTCGGTACTGCTGCTTGGTACTGCTCGGTACTGGATGACGTGGCTGCACCTGATTCATCTCTAAACGGTAAGCTGTGTCCGGTGTCCGCACAGAATAATCTCTCATGAAGTTAGGCATATTTGATTATTTGTTCCCTTTATCTACATCGATATTTATTTACTGCCAAGTACTCAATTTAAGTAATTTAGTGAAGAACATTTCCTTGTTCAGTTGTTCTGTTCCGTCCAGCAAAATTACCACCCATGATCAAAATTAACTGTGTCGCAAGTAATGATGAATGTCTAAAAATCTCAACTTGTCTTAAAATCTAAGATCTTGATAACTTAATCTTCTTATTGTTCATTCGCAAACTCCTGTTTTGGCAGGCGAGGCATTTCCAACTTCTACGCTGGCAAGTCCAAGTCTTTCACAAGCCTCTCAGATGCCATATCCTCCTGTGCTTCTACCAAGGACCTGGCCAAAGCAGAAAATGCTTATTCTCGTAGGCGAAGGAATCTCCTTGCATCCAAGATCTTCTGGGAGAAACCACAAAGCAATCTGTTGAGAAGTCCATCGGGCGGCATAGCTAAAAGGCCAGCTGCTGCTCACAAACGAAGCCCGCTGGCCCTTGCTGTAGCAATGGGCGGCTCTCCAAGAACTAGTAATATAAGTGAATATCAAGGCGAAAACCACCAGTTTTTACCCCAACCAGCCAAATCCACAACTGGTTTTGAAGATCCAGTAAACAGCTCTTCTTCTTCTTCTCAGCTTTGCTCTTTTCCAATGCGATCATTCTCGTTGGGTGATCTTCCAGTATTGAAAAATTCCGGTTCTTCAGTTGGATCGAGGGAGGACCAATAGAGGTTCTATTGATGAAGAGCTGTTGGTCAGTTCTTGCCTGAATTGTGATGTCAATGGATGAAGGTGTTGTATAGTAAGTTTTTTGCTGTATATACTATATATAATGGTTTTTAATTTGATGTTAGTGTTTACATAAATTTTTATGTTTGACTGCTCTCGAGTATTATATTTATATATATAATATCAATTATTTTCTGTCATCTCAGCATCCTTTTACACATAGGCGGCTTGTAATTAGTGTCTGTCAATAGTACTAGTGGGTATTGTGTGACATGCAATCATTAATCTCAGTGCTCCATTTTTTGATCGGATGGCTGAGATTAATTCTGAGGAGACACCTGAGGGTGCAAGAGCGGAACTGTGTACGGCTGATGAAATTATTTTGTAAGGATACGGATGCCGCCCGGAAGCGAATCAAAAGGCGCCACATTACCATTTGTTGTATATCACGGTTATGTACCGGGTGACATGGCGTCTTTTGATTTGTCTTCGGATGGTCTGATGTCTGCACAAAATAATTTCTTGTACTGCTTAGAGGCGTTGAGAGGGGGGGAGGGGTGGTTTTTTTGAAATCTAACAATCTGTCCCCTGAATTTTTTTTTTGGCCCCCCAGCCGACTTTTTTTTCACGCAATTTGCCTCTCAAAAAATCTGAAGGCCTTTTGGTCTCCCGCTATTTTCATCCGATTATGTTGAATTGTTCTAACACTAACAAATAATTCTATGAAAAGAGACTATATGTAAAATAAATTATTTTTCATCATCATTATTATTATTATTATTTTATAAATTTGTCTCTTGAGAATTAGGACTGGTTCTGCACATGAGGGTGTATAAGTGCAGAGGCCAATTAGGAAGTGAGATGGAATTTTTATTTTTAATAGTTTTTAATTGAGACATGATAACCCAGCCATTAAAATCAATTAGATTTGGTGGGATTTTAACATGGTGGAATATTAGTATTTTGCTTTGTTTCATATTGGGTGGATTTAATGTTGCAAGAGTTGAGGTGCTGCTCATTTGTCTTCAATGGCGGGTTGCATTTATATCTGGACGTTGGTTGGTCTTTCATTTACTTCAGCTCCCTATCTCCTTTAGTTCAATCACAGTCTTCTCATTTGGTTTTATTTCTTATAGCTTTGTTTTCTTGCATATGTTGAGATTAATAAATAAAGAATGCATAGTTTTTACATACAACTTCCAATCATCTATAATATTTGTACTACTTTGAAAAGGAACTTTTCATTTCAAAAATAAATAATAAAATATCCTTATTATTATTATTATTATTATACGTGCCATTTAAATTTTAAATTGTATTCATATATCAGTGTTTAAATTATTAATTATATCAAAATATTTGTTAGAAAAGTTGTAATTTATTTAAAATAATATAATTTGTCATATTTTTATTGATTTATTTATTCGATTGTATTGTTAGGTGTTAAATAAGCAAATAAATATCAGGGTGGACAAATTTTGCATATGAATATATTAATATTTATAAAATTAAAATAAGAACATAATTCAAAGCAAAATCATTATAACTAATAAATTAAAAATTATTACAAGCTTAATAATTTATTTTGCATTTTTTGATAATGTTGCATTATAACTTCACTGGGAATCAAATCAAATACATCACACCAGATAGTCTTTGAGCTAATCATCGCCCATCCTATTACGTAGTCGATGTTTGCATCCTCATTGCAGAAAATGCTTGCTCTTTCTACTGTAGCAGTAGCAACTGATAAAGTAAATGATAGAATAATGAGTATGTAAACCAACGGATACACCATGCCACTTCCATCTCAAGCTTTGCTTGGGACAACTTTCTCACTACTTCTTAAAAAAGTTTTTTAGTTCAAAAATTTTAATTTTTAAATTAGAAAGTTGCTTCAAGAAGCAGGAAGAAAGCCGTCCCAACCTCAAGCAAATATGATTTTAGTTGAAAGCAGCTATGCAAAAGATTTTGAGATTACCTCATGCGGTCAGGTTTATGGCTTTTCTCCACTATCGCCAAAAGTTGAAGAACTGCGCTACTTGGGGCATTGCTCTGTTTTTTTTTGTGTGGGCGGGCCGCTGGGAAGAAAATGTCTAAACTACCCTTAATTTAAAAAAAATTTGAGGGTGGGCAATTCGTAGGTCTACCCCTAGTGATATCCATACATCCATCATTGACACATTAGTCATTTATTTTCTATGCATTTCAATATGTAAGCATTTATAGTCGATTTACTATAATACCCATGTGAGAAATATAAGCACCAATCCCAAGGAAATCCAATGATTTCCTATAGAGTCGTCGCTCTTGAGGTCCGTTGGCCCTAGCTAGCCAGTAACCAATAGGGTTTAATACTAACATTTACAAGCATCAAACATACAAGCTTGTATTATACACATATTATATTTTTAGTAATTGTGCTTAACAAAGGTTATAACATAATTAAGCTTCGTTATATGTATTAGAAAATTTATAATTTGTATAGATAATAGTTATTCAAAATAATTAGGATAAAGAATATGACCTACTCATAAAATTATACAACAATCCACACGACAAAACTAACTATCATATCATGTCAAAATAATAGCATGTAATGTTGTGAATGAATTGTCATATTTTATCATACACATTATCCACATATTTGTGTAGCAAGGGCTAGACCCCTAACAAAGAAAGATACGTTTTTCTCTTACTCAGTAAAGAATCACCTGCCAGAATGAAGTCATAAGTAGCCGAACATTTTGACCTCAACGCCAATCTTTCTTGCTTTAACATGCAGTACTCCACAAATCCTAGATTCAAAAGAATCTAAATCACTTAGATATTTAATAGATTACACAAAAATTATTAGCAACCAAAATAATTAAGTTAATTATACTTAATAAATTAATTATTTTCCTATAATAAGTTTATTTTTAATGTTTTGGGGCAAGATTAGTGTTAGAGTTTACCTAATCAAATGGATGAAGGGGAGGATAGCAAGAGAAGGGGAAAAAAAAAAGAGATGTTTGCTTCTTTCCCCTTCAAGAAGGAAAACGAAGAAATCTAAAGAAATGAGGCGAAACCAAGGCATCAACAACCAAGGCAGTCCTTCTTCCATCCATATCTCCTCTACAAATCGGTTAAACATAGGCACAAATTAGTAGGTTATCGAGTAGAAAAGCTTTCGAGCACAACCAATGTCACTCATATTCTTTGTTATGTGTCGCGTGCCATATGAGGCCGATGCCGAACATCACCTCATCGATTCCCTGCTCGTAAGCTACATCACAATCCCTCCCTCTTCTTTCTCGCCGCAACCCTCCTATCTCTCTTGTGCGATCCTGCAATGCCCTAAGTTCGATCCCATCTTAAAGGAACATAGTTGCTTGAATAAGAAATCAAACGACGTGAACCGGTTTAGTTGATTCAGTTTAGTTTAATGTGCCGACATCATGTTATTACAATAATTTATTTTTATGTGAAAATAAATTACGGTCTCAAGCATTAATTTAAAAAAATTTGAGCAAATATTTGAAATATATAATTTGTGTCTGAACTAGAAATCTGTTTTGGCTCTACCTTTACATGGGGGCAAAAGCCCAATTTACTTTAAAATTTAAAACATAATAATATTGTTAGAGACTATGCGAAACAATAATCTCTATGTTTGTAGATCAACGCCTTGCCCATTGTCATATCTTACTATCATTTATAAATTTTTTAAACTTATACCTAAATATTCAAAGTGAAAGGAGGTAATCATAGATTTATGTGTAATACAATTTATGAAAGATATAATATATAATTTTATAATTTATTGAAAATGAAGATTGATAAAAGTAAATATATATATAAGATTGTAAGTATTTAAAAAGCCCAACAAGTAAAATATTTCGGTCACTGCCCTCGCTTCTATGCTAGTTCATTGAATTTCTATATTTATTTATTTTACACTCATAATACTTAACAATTAAAAAGCTCAGATTTTATTTGGTTATTCTGCACTTTTCCTAAAAGATAATTTTAAAACTATTGTTTGACAGAATGAAATTTTCTAATGGAGAATTTACTATTAGAAAAATTTTGAAAATACAAAAATAATGATATTCAGAACATGTTTAAGAAAAATAATTTTATCAAATAAATAAATTTTTTCTATTTTACATTGACAAATGAAAAAAAAAAACCAATAAAAAAAGGATAAACAAATGAGTCCTCAATAATATATATCATCATCACTTAGCTACAAATCACATTGTTGCGTCCAGGAGTATTCGCGGCGGTAGAGAAATATTATATTTAACGTCTTAGCATTGTACGAAGATCTGGCACGCAAGCAGATAAGGAGAGAGGGTCTAGCATTTATGAGACACCAAGATTTTTACGTGGAAAACCCCTGTAAAAAGGGGGAAAAACCACGGGGCCTAGCCCAGTTTGAATGAATCCACTAGTATTGCAGTCGATTACAAATGAGGCCCTTCCCTAGGAGAAGGCCTTAGCTTGATGTACATCTTATGGAGTACATTACATGATGTAAATACAAATAATCACTATTGACATGTTCGCTTTGTTAGAAGGACTGCAGTCGGCGGGCGACGTAGGTCAGGAGGACCGTAGTCAACTGGCGGCGAAGGACTGTAGTCGGCGGGCTTGGTAGTAAATTGGCTTTGCTTTAATGAATTTTCTTAGCTCTATTAAATATATTTAATTGGCTTACCGTGAATCTCAAGTGTAATTGGCCAAGAAAGATGCTTTCAGTTTTGAAAGTCTGATTGCTTATTGAAACATTCTTGTTCGCCATTGTGTTATTCATGGTAGTGGATGTGGTTAGCCAAGTCTTGTTTAGTTTAGTTCTTGTTTTCGTAGTTCTATTAAGGCGCTGTTTAGTTCTACTACTTCTGTAGTGAATCTGGTTAGTTAGCAGCTGGTCTGTTAGTATGAGTTAGCCCATGTATTCTGTAAGTACTCCCAATTAGAGAGGATGAAGAGACTAAAAAAAACTTATGAATTATTCTTTCTCATTTATCTTTCTCATCTTCTTTCTTAAAGTTCTGGTGTGGTTGAGCAGCTTGAAGTGCTCTAATTAGGATCCAGGATTCTATCATTGGTCTTCTTGCTGAGAAGATTCTCCACCTCTTGTTACACAGAAAACAATGATCCAACACCCCATAGGATTTCCCAACATGCCATTGCACATTTTACGTTTGATTCAAGATCCGTCTCCCTTCCTTATATCTAGGGGCACGCTCCCTACATGTCTCATGTTGAAGCCTTATCCATATGCTTCTTCAATGAAACTATTGTTGTCAACCTCCAAGAACTAGTTTGTATATTTCCCTGTTCCAATAATCATCGACATCTTTACCTGCTACTCAACTCTTGAGTTGTTGTGGACCTTCCTCCATCCTCAAGAAACCTGCACCACCAACCTAACCTAACCTTCACCACGCCATCAATCTTCTAAGAAAACTATCTTGATCACCTCTTGTTTCACCATTCATTGTTCATTACCACCATTCAAATTGTTGGCTGTGTGAATGGGATTTCTTGTGGGAGTATTTCAAACCGGATTTCTTGTAGGAGATTTGAATAAGATAATATCTCGTGGATTTAGTCAAATTAACAAGGTGAAGGTGCTTGAAATGTATACACCATGCTTGAAAGAAGAAATATGTCTTTGATGTTCACTTTTATTTTTCTTTTTTGTGATCATATGCTGGATGCATATCTTATCGTCAATGATGATTGCAATTTGTTGAATGTATAGCGTCATGCATATCCATGACAAAAATTGTTTAATTGAAAAAGTTCAAGTGCATTTATTCCTTTCTCTTTTTTACATTTAGCATGCAGGGTCATATGGAGAAGTAAATGAGGATAGTTTCAAGTGACACCTTGCTTGACAAGAATAATTATCTATGATTAGTAGTAAGATGAAATGATGAATACAATGTGACATGATTTGTTAACTCGAATATAGAACTTATTACTAATGATGAAGAGAAATAAAATGATTGTTAATTTCAGAATTTGTATTCATTTGTTTTACTATAACTCATGCTAAAAAAAATACCGTTGTAATTTGTTGAGGTCTTAATGAAAGCATTCTTGGTTTTAAAGAAGTTATGAGTATGTTGATATATTTATGTAAATCCTTGAATCTTGATAAGCTTATATGTTTAACTTAATGTAATATAAGGTACAATAACCATGCTTATCACATTTACTTATTTTATATTCCGATTGCAAGCATGCATAGATCCGATCCGAGCAGGTATCTTGTTTGTGTTGGAGAGGAATGTGAATTATTGAAGGAAAGTGAATGAGCATTTGTCTATATTTATTATGTTGTCTCCAATACTTGAATGAAATTCAAGCATATTAAGGAAATTTCGTGAGATAACATTTTTTTTATTGATGAAAGTTTAATAGTTAGTCATTGGTGGTTACAAGATAGAATCATGATAGGAAACACTTGAGTTCCCAAGTGTTTCTCACCAAAACTGAAGTTGACCCGATGGAAACTGCTGTCCACAGCAGAAATACAGCAGAAATCTGCTGTTTACAGCAGAAAAACAGCAAAACCACAGAGAAATCTGAGAGAAAACTCAAAGAAAATACTTGTATTCCACTTAGACGATGAATAAAAGAGCAAGATACAATTGATCCTCAATTCGAGAGGAGGATCGATCTCTCCCAAATCTCTAGACGCAGCTAGAGCCCAAAGAAGTCCTAAATCTACGGGATCTCAAATTTCAGCCAAATTCCAGATGCCCAAACCCTAGGAAAATCTACTATTATGTTTAGTGAAATTGGGTGTGTAAGGATGTTTATATTCAAGATCATGTGTAAATACCATGTATTCATTTGGCATCAAGTAGGATTTATGGATTTTGTGGGAAAGTTTAGAAATGGTTACAATTGCAATGCATCATTTGGAGATGATTTTTTATATGAAGAGATTGTTTGTGTTGAGATTCATTTATTAACATTGTATTATTATTTCAAGAAAGATATTTAGAAACATGTTTGCTATCATAGGGTGAGTACGTTTACAACTGTGCTAGATAATCTTGATTTGATGTGAAGATTCATGATTTTGTTGAAGTATACACACGTGTATGTTTTATGTTCCAATGCATATCTATAGACTTGATAGAAAATTGGATAACCATGTTAGATAGCTTCATATGTTTCATATTTCAATTACAAGCATGTATAGAATCAATCCAAAGATGTTTTGCCTATGTTGGAAAGTTTCTATATGCCTTATGTATGATTTGCCTATATGTTTTGCAATAGTGAATTTCTATGTTTGATGCTATTAGATTGTCATGTGATTCATGTGTAGCCTCTTTATAGTTTATGTTGGAAAACTCTTATATTGCCTTGTCTTCCAATGATGCATGCATATGTTTAGTAAATACAAGTATTGAATTATTTGTTAGTTAGATCTCTATCTGTTTGCTTTATAGTCTATCATTTTTAGCTTCCTAACTTTCGGATCTCCCCCATCCCAATTTTTCCTTCCGCCCCCATGCCTCCCATGAAGCGAGCATTGGGTTCTCTTGACGGTTCTCTCTCCTCCCTTCTCCTGTCATATCCTTCTCTTCCTTCAAATTCAGCCCGTTTGTGCTCTTCTTCCCATTCCCTCCTACCTTGATATTTTCTATTCATCTGCCTTCTCATCAAAGGCTCAAGGTTGGGGTATTCTCTCCTTCTCTCTTAAAATTTTCACCTCTCCATCTCCCTTTGGCATGCCATTTCTCCGATTCCTTCTTGCTTCGGGCGGAGTTGCTTTAGTTTGAAACTCTAACATCCGCTTCATCATCTCCACTAGATTCCCAAACCTTCATTCCATCATTGAAAAACACTCATTTAACGATGCTACATCCGCTTGCAACTGCCTACTTCCCCATCCAACATTTCTTCCAATGCCTCAACTCTTCTCCCAGGCATCAGTCCCAAAAACTTGCTATGATACCAATTTGATATAATTTGAGGATCAAATCAACACCCAAAACAGTCACAAGAACAAGAACGAAATCAACACCAAATAGCGAAAACCAGCCACCAAACTCAAGAGAAAATAACAATGGTATGCAAGAACAACACTAATAAAGCTGAAATAACAATCTTCAATTAAAAAAACTCAAGATACAATTGATTCACTTTTTGAGAGGTAAATCGTCTCTCTCCCAATTTCCTAGCAGCAACTAGAAACCCAAAATCTCTTAAGAAACAACTCCATAAGTTTTTCACATAATCCCTCCCACATATAAACTTTCCCCCTTAAAAATAGCCCTAATCCCGCTATAAATGCATCTCATATTTCCTCCAATGATCTCCCCAACTTTTTCCTCCTATAGGTTTAAAATGAGGTGCTAGGACCCACAAAGTTGCCACCCAAGGGGGTGGGGTTCACAGCTGTATCACATTGCCTTCATCAAAATTGTCATAACTAAAGCTGAGAGATGGAAAGAGAAGATGTTTAATTATGATGTGCAATATAGGGTCAGGCTAAGAAACAATGAAGCCAAAATGATGTGTTTACACAGACAATACTCAAATTCTGTCTTAAGATGGCTTACCTAACCTACGTGCCCAAGCTCCTCAAGTTAGCAACTACTTAAGTTATACACCTTGACCCAAGTTTCTTTTTTACTCACCGACCTTCTTACTCTAGTAGCACCATTATTCTCAATACTTGAATAATCTCAATTAATGTAAATTGATCATGTTAATATATTTATGAAATAAAATAGTTCATACACTACATTTTAGATCATATAATTTGATTGTAGGATCAATTTTTGTTAATTAAAATATTTTATAATATGTTAGTAAGATTTGCTTATGTGTAACTTGGAAATAGAGCTTGATTGTATGGTATGAACAATGATTGTATAGTTCGATCAGCTATTGGAATTTTGGGACTGGTTTATCATATAGCATAATGCAAATCATGCAAGATTGATCCAAATCAGATTTTCTCACACTTGTTTAATGTTGGATTTAATTAGCATTCAATTATTTTGTGTGTACTGATCATCTTGACATCTTCAACACCTTAAAAATTCAATTATTCATTTCTCAAAAATTAAATAAACAGATTTTACAACTTGAAGCTTTAATCTTGATTTCAATCGGGCTAACTTGAGTTATTCAAACTATCAACTTTCTTTGAGTCATTAACGTGCTTTAGAATACAGGACTAACTCACACTGCCCGTGGCAGCGATAGGGGCAGGGGGCTAGGGGTGAGCGGTGGCAGGTGATTGTTATGGCCGGTATTTTATGTATCAAACATATTAAAAATAATTTAGAGGGTGTATTCTAAATACATTAAAATTTGACATTGCATTTGATTTTTTTTTCAAGAAAATAACTATATATTTAAAACTCATGCATTTGGAACGTAATACGCTGAATATTTGCAACCAAACAACTTCTTAAGTTTTGTCCACATTAATCAAATTCCTTTATAGTGATCCGATGAACCACGATCTATCTTTGGATGTTTATATGGTAGTTAAATGTAATTTTCTTAGAACTACCTGCTTCTCAGTGCAACTATGGCCATCTATGATGTGGTTCAGCTCGTGAGAGCTGATGTATCTACAGTGGCGCTGGGAATTGCGGCCTCCACATCGGCAATTATCCTCGGCGGTGGCACTAAGGGCAAGAGATTGGCCATGCCAAATACAAGGATAATGCTCCATCAGCCTCTTGGTGGTGCCAGTGGTCAGGCTATTGATGTTGAGATCCAGGCCAGAGAGATCATGCACAACAAAGATAACATCACTAGACTAATCTCAGGCTTTACGGGACGTCCATTTGAACAGGTTCAGAAAGATATTGATAGGGACCGTTATATGTCGCCAATAGAGGCCGTGGAATATGGCATCCTTGATGGTGTTATTGACAGGGATTCTATCATTCCATTGGTCCCTGTCCCAGAGAAAGTGAAGCCAAAATACAGTTATGAGGAGATTAACAAGGATCCCAGAAAATTTTTAACACCTGAGGTTCCTGATGACGAGATATATTAGCTCAAAAACCATTCACCAGGAGGTATTCCTTATCTTCGTTGTTTTTTTTACTGCTTTTTGTTTTTGTTGTAATGGGATTTTGTAGTTTCATCAACTTCATTTGGTAAAGCTGTTGAATATGTCAAGTTCTATTATTCTTGATGGAGAAATTGCTATGTTGTTAGTTCACTAAGGGCAAGATATTGTTAAAACTGAGAATTTGAGAGGGAAAAGCTTGAATTTTATTATGCAATCTACTTTCTATTTATAGATCTATACAAGGTGTATTGATAAGAAAACAAATAACTCTATAATAATGAGAATACAATTACTCCTAAATCAATGGAAGGAATTAATGCTATCCAGGTAGTCTTCCCACGGATTACTGTTCACAGACGTGGATTTCTTTTGGATCGTGAGGTTGAGATTTAACACTCCCCCTCAAGCTGGGAAATATGGATCCGTCATTCCCAGCTTGTCAACCATTCGGAGAAAGGAAGAACTGTCCAATCCTTTAGCAAGGATATCTGCAAGTTTATCCTTTGATGATACATGGTCAACACTTACTAGACCACTGTCCAATTTTTCTTTAATAAAATGTCTGTCCACTTCTATGTGCTTAGTTCTGTCGTGCTGGACTGGATTGTGGGCTATGCTGATTGCTGATTTATTGTCACAATTTAGTTTCATGGGCTCATCCCACTTAACCTTTAAATCTTCTAGGATTATTTTGATCCATAGTAGCTCACATATTCCCAAGGCCATAGCTCGATATTCTGCTTCTGCACTGGATCTTGCCACCACATTCTGTTTCTTGCTTCTCCATGTAACTAGGTTACCTCCAAGAAATGTGTAATTCCTAGAGGTAGATCTTCTATCAACCGGTGATCCTGCGTAGTCAGCATCCGTGTATACTTCTAGGGTTATTCCACGATCTCTGGTCCTGAAATAAGCAATAGGTAGGGTCGACAGCGATGCTCCGATTTTTTTTTCTTTTTCCTCCTCCGATGATCTAAGATCGTTCTCCGACGGCAGTTAAGGCCGTTGGCTCTGATACCATGTTAAAACTGAGAATTTGAGAGGGAAAGCTTGAATTTTATTATGCAATCTACTCCCTATTTATAGACCCATACAAGGTGTATTGATAAGGAAACAAATAACTCTATAATAATGAGAATACAATTACTCCTAAATCAATTGAAGGAATTAATGTTATCCAGGTAGTCTTCCCACGGATTACTGTTCACAGCCGTGGATTTCTTTTGGATCGTGAGGTTGAGATTTAACAGATATTAGCAACGTCGCATGTCTATGTATTTGTCAAATAGATTAAGGTTTTGTTTAGGACGGCTTTCTTATTGCTTCTTAAAGTAGCTTTCTAGTACAAAAATTAAAATTTTTGTGCTAAAAAACTACTTTAAAGATCAATAAAAAAGCCATCCTAAATGAAGCTTAATAGAAATGTTGCAGTTTCACACAACATTTTATGCTGTATTCACTGTCAAGAGACCCCCTTTTGCTTTGTATTCTTCCTGTACTTTATTCTGTATGTGATGTTCCAGAAACATCCAGATCATGTACATTGGTAGAGATAATTTTCTCAAACATTTAGCTTTTATCTTTTAGCGACTTATAAGTCTGAAACCATCATTCCATGATATCATTTCCAACAATGTTTCCAATCTATCATTCTATATTGCTTATATTGCAATTGTTACTTGATATTCTGTATTGTTTTGTTTTGCCTTTTTTTTGTTTTTTTAGTAACAAATAGTCTTCACTTTTATTAAAACATGTCATATATCAGATAAAATCCTAGACTTCGTTTGGACGGCTTTCTTACTGCTTTCAAAAGCAGCTTTTAAGGACAAAAATTCAATAAAAACAACTGAAATACAATGACAAAAAACTCTCCAAAACGAAGACTGAACCGTGTCGATAGGTTCCAGGCATCCTAGTTATGTTATAATTGGCCTCTTTTATTGTATGTTTTGTTTTGTCTTGTTTCATGGGTCATGTTCATCACGTTTGTGTGGGCATGACCTGTAACCTGCAACACCTGCATTGACTCGATAAACACTCATTTGTCCTATGGGGCTGGGCAAAGCCTAAGGGGCCATTTGAGATCACTTTTCTGATTTTTTTTTTTTATAAAATAAATTATCTTTGATATATATATATATATATATATATATATATATATATATATTGAATATCACATAAGTAAATTTTTTTAACTATTTGGTAGAGGGCATTAGTGTCGCAAGCGGGGATGTTAGCTTCGATTTGAGATTGGTCCATGTCGGGTTCGGGAGCCGTCAGGGTGCCCAGCGCCTGGCGATTGGGAGTTAGGTTTCATTTGTGATGAATTTCTTACTGTTTTTTAAAGTAATTTTTTAGTACAAAAGTTTTTTAAAATAAAATTTTTGTATTAGAAAACTACTTTAAAAATAAATAAAAAAACTGTTCTAAACAAAGTCTTTATGTTAAGAAGTTGTTTTTTATAGCATATTTTTAAAAAAATTACTTTCTCCATAACAGATTTATAATTACATTTACAAAAAGTTGTAGTTGGCTCAAACGGACCCTTAAATAGCCTTAGGCTTTTGGTTGGAACGGATTTCTTATTGTTTCTTAAAATAATTTTTTAGTACAAAAATTATCATCCCAAACGAAGCCTTAAAGTAGGAATAAATAATTTCTTATTCATTTGAAGTTGTCTTATGATCACTTCAACTTTAAGATATTGAAATCTATTCATAAATTTAATTTTATTTATGATATTTTTTAATTCCTGCCTGATATGCGACTTGCATTTGTTCTTATCTATGATTGATTTTGTCGTATTTTTTAGTTATTAAAATTATTTAAGGATTCTTTTTGCATTAAAAAAAAATACTTAAAAACTTATGAAAAATAAATTCTAAGGAGATATTTTCCATTACATCCATTGCTTTTCAAAATTTCTAATTAAGGTTTTGTTTGAGATGACTTTTTCAAAATTTTAATATAAAATCCTTTTAAAAATATTAAAAAAAATATTCCAAATTAAATCTTAATTAATATATTTTACATAATCCTCCCAACAAAACTAGATCATTATGTGTATTTTACATAATCCTTTCAACAACATGTGGGCTTATCTAAAGCCAATAGTTATCATAATATAATACTCATTACTTTAATCTTGCAGATATATTCTTCAATTTGCTTTTATAAATTAATTATAGTATTTAGGATATTTATATTTTAGCCCTCCTATAATTTAGTAAATTATCAAATAACCTTTTGAGGTTTAACGACAATATTAAATTTCAATTTATTGTTATGCAAAGGCTGAACTTCTTTTCACAATTTTGTTTATCTATTGTTTGCTTAAAAAATATTTTCTAAGTTCTAAAATTGAAGATTTAGAATTGCGTTGTTTATGGTGGATTAGTCTGATCTTAATTTTTCCTCTTCATTTGTTTGATAAGTAAAAATAATAATAATGTGTTGTTAAGTGCTAATTTTTTGGTACTTGTGCTATCCTTTGTATAAAATTACTCAAAAATTAAATTTTTATTTCCATTTATTTGGCCTTTTTCTTACCGATTGGACCAAAAAAAAATTAAAAGAAATAAATTGTCATGTTTTTAATTAGATGGTAAACATTGTGGTTATGAGGTCTCTTGGTTGAGAAAAGTGGAGAGCTGCGTTAGATAATGATGTCAAAAATTGACATGACCCGAATGACCCATTTAAAATAAATTTTCTTAATTTTTTGTTTGTTGGTATGATTGTTTTATTTTTTATCAATAAATCTAAAATCTCGTTAAAAAGTTATAATTCTTAAAAAAAAAAATCAAAATAGGTTATCAAGTTGGGTTTGAGTCATTTGTGTTGCTAGTGGGTTGGGTTCAAGTAGGCAAGATTTGAGTCTAGTCAATTCAGGTCAGACTTGAACCTGTACCGTTGACCTGTTTTGACACCCTAGCATTAGGTAGTAAATTATTAGCATAAAGCTCGTTGAATAATCATGATAGGAATCCTTTAATATAAGAATTCATGTAATTGAGCTCACAGAGTGGGATAAAGGCTTGATGTTATTGTTTTTAATTAGAGAGTAGTCCCTAATTATAGAGAAATTATTCTGTGCGGACACCAGATCATTCGGAGGCGAATCATAATGTGTCACGTCACCCGATATACAACGGTACACATCCATGGTACATTGTAAAAAAGTGATGTGGCACCTTCTGATTCACCTCCAGACGACATTCGTATCCGCACTGAATATTTTCTCCTAATCATAAGACTAATATATATAACTTTCAGAAAATTACAATTTATTAGTTTGATAACCTATAAAAAATATTGTCATGAAGGGTTTAAAAAAAATCAATGACTTGAAGTTAAAGAACAAAAAAAAAAAAGTAATTATATGATGTTTGATAAATTATTACAAAAATAGCAAAAGTAATATATGATATTTGTAAGTTTCAATTAATTAACCAATATGATTATAAAATGAGGCGTATGCATATTATTTTATATAAATTAATATTTATGACATATTAATTGGAGTTTCTTATCTTTTTAGTTCAAATTGCAAATAAATTTGTTGATTTTTTTATTATTATACGTTGCATCTATAATTAAGATAGCAAAGTCTAAAGATGATTTGATGACTCTTTTCATGTACTATTTCAAATCAAAAGAAGAGCTCATCTTAATCTATTGATCGATAGTTCTGACTATCAATCAAGAGGTTTGAATTCGAAGCTTGAGTATGTGACGTGTTTATAATTTTGGCTTAATTGACTCAAAAATTCAAAAAAAATAAGTACCTTATGAAATTGTACTTGTCTCCTCGCTCCTCACCTCTCAATTATAATCTCGTCAATGCACAATAATATGAGTCTCAATGATGAATGAATTGCCGGTGGGTTGGTTGGGTTTGCTAGGGTAAAGTTTCATTTGGAAAGACTTTCTTACTGCTTTTTAAAACAACTTTTTAATACAAAAAAATTAATTTTTGTATTAGAAACCTACTTTAAAAAGCAGTAGTAAAGCAGTCCCAAAGGAAGCTTAAACCCCAATTCCTCATTGACCAAATAAAGAAGACAAATAAATTTCTCTTAAAAAAATTAAATGAAGGAAATGAATTTCAATTCAATTCTTCTAACAATTTAATGTTGAAACACTAATGTTTTCACATGAAACAAAGAGCATACATAAGGCTGCCAAATGTCAAGATTAGAAGAGACAACAAACACCCAAGTTTTAGCTATCAAGTTGATTTCTCACTCATCTACTTAATATCTAAAAAGCTAATATTAGGCACATTTTATCATTCATGATAAAAACTTTCCTCTCTATTTTGAAAATAAGCTACAATACTAAAATTTTTATACTAAAATTCTATTTTAAAAAATAATAAAAAAATTGTCATAAACGAAGCCTAAGTAACATTGTTGTGCTCTTTCCCTAAGCACAAAGGCGCGTTCTCTTTCACTCTTCTTTTCAGACGTCCTATATCATTTTCTCGTACATTTTACATAACACAATCTCAATCAACGATCATTTTATGGTGCCTAAACAAATTGATGTAATATAAAAACAATTTATTGCATAGTTTATAATGATATTTGACTTCAATATAATTAACAATAAATTTAATTTACTCAAAAATTTAAACAAATGAATTTTTTTTAAGAGTTTCCATGTTAAATTGATTTTTTTATCATTATTAGGACTCAAATTCTCTCTGCATTAATATATATATATATATATATATATATATTCACTATAGTTCAGTAGTTCTCTGTAAGCAAACAGTTAGATGAAAATAACTTCCAATTCAATTCCTTCAAACCATACGCAGTTCTTTAAGATCCTTCTTTCAAGTTCGTCTCAAAGATACAAATCCATCACTTTTCTCGGAAGAAGCAACCTGCAACTGCGACCATGACTAATGGCTCCTCAAGCGAGCTTCTTCTTCTACGGTTCTACCTAGCACAAGTAATGATTACTGTCAATCAAGGAGAATCTCTTCTTCCTCTTCCTGTACATGACGAAGAATTTTCCTCACTCCTCAATCCTTCCTAAGACAGACACAAAAAACTAAAACTAATAATGCCTTACACCATTACCACAACCAGCCGCCGCCACCGCCGCCGTCGCCGTCGTCTTGTGTCGTGCCAGCTTCCACAGCGAGCAGAACGAAACCGCCTGCCCTTTCCACCACAACCCCACCCGACCTTCACTCCCAAATGTCATCTCCCAATTCCCGTCGTACTTTCTCAACAAAGCTCTCCCCGCCTCCACCACCTCCTCCCCAAATACTTCCTCCCGGAACCCCAGCCCCTCCATCTTCTCCTTCCATCTCTCCCTCCCCCCTTCCCTCCGCTCCTCTAAAACCCTAGCCGCCTCCCCTTCCATCACTCTCCTCTCCTCACATTCCCTCCCCTTAAACGCCGCGCTTGTCGACTCTAGAAACCTCCACATCACCTCCGCTCTCCTCCCAAATCCTAACCCTTCCCCTTCTCCTTCCTCCTCCCCCTCACTCAATACTACCAAATCCGGCTCTATCTCCCTCACCGCCCTCAAAAACCCTAACCCCGCTCTTCCCGCCCTAAACTGCGCGCACACTACCACCCTCTCCTCATCCCCTCCCCGTCTCCTCTCCACCATCTCCCCTCTCTCCACTATCAAATCCACCTCAATCGACTTCGCATATCGCATCAACTGCGGCCCGAAATCGTACCCTTCCGGCGCCGACCCGAATGGCCCGTTCGATCCGGCATCAACCACCGTCAGTTTCACCATCGACGGTGGCCCACCGGGCCGCCGCGTCAGTGCTTCCAGCATCGTCGGCCACTGAACCCCGTGCGAAACCCCGGCATCCACCACGTGCAGTCTCTTCGCACCTGCCGACGCCGACAAGATCGCCGCATTCGCGAGGCAGTTGGGGAGGGCGAACCACGGGCTCACCTCATGGAACTTTATTAATGCCGATCGGAACCCCTTTGGCTCCGCCTTCGCGTATCCGCCGCTAAGGCAGTGTGTTAGGGCTTGCAGGCCGTAGAAAGCGAGCCGGTGGTTAGGATCTCCGGTCGGGGAGGCCAGCTCTTGTAGGACGTAGAGGAGATGCTGGGCGCGGGAGATGTTTCCCGATTCGATGGCAGCGGCCAAAGGATTCAGAAGCTGTTCAGCCCATCGCGCCTCTCTGCTCCCGCCGGTTACACCTCCGTGAGTCTTCTTCTCGTTGTGCCCTTCGTTGCCTGTTCTTCGCCGCTGGGCGGCGGGTGGGTTTGATTGAAATTTTCGTTTTTTTGGTAATTCTGATTTGGGTGTGATTGCTTTGGGATTGACGGCGGCGGGGGGAGCTACGGCGGCGATGGTTGGGGATTGGATTTGATTTTGTGTCTGAGGCCACCAGTCATAGCGGGCGATTTCTTCAGTGAGGGTGTAAGGATCGTCGAGGAACGGTAGCGGGAAAATCGAGTCTTCTAACCAGTCCATGAGATGGTCTTGTTGGTGGCGATGAAGATGATGGAAAATGTGAATGTTGAGGTGAGGATTCGGAGAAAGGTGTTAACTTTTAGGTGGGTTTTATAGGTGGAAGATGAAGGTAGAATCTTTGGAGAACATTGGGGATTTTTTTAGTTGTTTTAAGGGTTGGGTGGTTGCTGTGATAGCGATGGGAAGCTTGAACTAAGGCCATGGCTTCGGCAAGTTGATGCAATTTACTATCGGCAATCCTTTTTTTTCTATCCAACAAGTTAATATATTTTCAATATCATATCTTGACAATAAGTGATAGAAGATATTTTATATTTATATTGCATAAAATATTGAGATTTATATATTTAACATAAATTTCACTATATATATATATATATATATATATAATATTCAAAATTGCTGCCTACCACCAGAGAGTTGCCCGTCACTATAACAGAAGGATGAAGGCACGACACTATATCCCGGTAGGAGATCTGGTCCTACGCAGCATTTGCAGGCGGCAAGGCAAAGGCGCCTTCAAACGAAACAAACTCTCCCCCCTCTGGGAAGGTCCGTACCCTAGTAGCAGCTATGGTAAGCCAGGGACTTTCAATAAGGATGCTGAAGGAAGAGCTTCTCGAAACTTGAATATCGAGAACCTCGAAAATTACTATCAGTTAGAGCGTTAATCGTGTCGTCGTTTTAGAATGTTGTATGTCTTTTGTTACTGTAAGTTTATGTCTTTTAATTTCGACTTTGTTTGTGGTGTTTTTCTATTTCCTTCCCCTTTTAAACTATTTTTCGGGAAGCAATGTTCTTCGTTTAATAGAAAGTAAAGACTTTGTTAAGTTTTTAACTTTAATTTGAGCAGATGATGATTATTGTTCAATCGTTAGTTGATCAATCCCAGGGGGATTTGTCCGACCTCTTTCCACACAGTTAACGTCATCGAGCAGGGCTGGACTCACAACCTCGGATAGGTCTTATATCCTTGGTGGATTCTCCCGACCCTCTTTCCACACAGTTAACTCATCGAGCAGGGCTCTGGACTCAACAACCTCGATAGGTCATTATAATCCTTGGTGGATTCTTCCCGACCTCTTTCCACACAGGTTAACGTCATCGAGCAGGGCTCTGACTCACAACCTCGAAGATAGGTCTATAATATACCTTGGAGATCTCTCACCGAACACTCTTCCACACAGTAACGTCATAGCAGGCATCTGACTACAAACCTCGAGATAGGTCTTATATCCTTGGTGATATCATCCCGCCTCCATCCCAACACAGGTATAGTCATCGAGCAGGGCTACTGACTCACAACCATGGATAGGTCCTTACATTCTCTATAGATTTCTTTTAACCTCTTCATACAAGGTTGGCGTCATCACGCAAGGCCATCTTGGCGTACAACTTAGAGGTAAACAGTACATCCTCTAAGGGATCCTTTTAAACTTTTTAAGCACAGGTGGAAGATTTAAATACCTTAAAACAAAAACATAAAAGAAATTTCACTCAGAATAGATAAATACACTGGAATATTTTACAGCATATAGCCCAACAGAACGATAATCCACTACAAGTCAAAGTAGATATCCACATAACAGTAACAAAACATCAGGTACATCACAATAACTAAAAAAAGACAAACTAAAACAAACAACAGGAGCTAGAAAGCTCTACTCAAATTCTACTATCTCATCATCTGCCATCAAGATCGAGGACCTTTCCGAAGATCACTTCTCTACCTCATCACCATCAGAGCCTTGAAGAAAGTCAGCTGAAAGGCCTGGCTAGGGGTCACCTCTTCGCTGGACTCCGGTCTTTTCGCTGCATCAAGGCAACCCCTAAAGAAGCCTCTAATAAAATCCGTCCTCAGTGCACTGCTGCTCCAAAACCTTCACCTTTCTATAGCATAGATGTGATCTCGGGCCTCCTCAACGTGATCCTGGTTGACGATAGTCTTTGAATGCTATGGACTTCTTGAATCTCAATTTAACTTCTTGAAGGTTCTTGAGCTGGACAAGGCAGCCTCCTTCTCCGCTATAAATGGCCTGAACTCCTATCCTTCATCTCCAGCCGGACCGCAATCTTCTCCCTGAAACTTTCTGCTCCCTCAACAAGTCTGTGCATCGTCGCTGGTGAGCCTCCTCAAGACTATCTCGGTGCCGATCTGCCTGGCTGATTCCGGAGAGTTACAGAGCGCATTGAGTTAGCCAAGCTCAGTCCTGTTCACTCGCCCTCACTCATCTTCTCAACACCTTCACCTCCTTAAACCTTCTGATCATATTTTCGTTTGAACTCTCCCTGGAGTTACTGATCTTAACAAAACTTCAGTGTTCCAGTCATTAACTGCGATCACAGCACGTGACAGCTGAAAAATAGAAAGAAAAGTTCATTAGAAGTCACTCAAGAAGAAAATGAAATAAAAAAATATTAGGAGATGTTACTCACCAAATTTACTGCGGTTCTTCGTTTATGGTCCAAAGCCATTGAAAGATTCTACCCGTACATCTTTATCTTACAGTGCGAGGTGTGCAGTATCTAGCCTTGGTACAGAGACATAAACCAGTCCAAGGTAACAGACGTCTATTCTCTGCTGGTTCGTTTTCTCTTCCAAGCCTCTCTTTCATCTCAAGCGAGAAATCGCGGCTTACTCCCGAGAACCCGTGCCTTATCCAACACATATATATCACCTTCGCCTTCATCGTTTGGCGCCGTCACCTGCCCATGAAAATTAAGCAACAGGGGCAGGGGCCAGGAATCCTGGATGTCGGCTTCAACTTCCTTGCATTTCCAGATCTTCCAGTATGAAATGATATTTCCCCCTTGAATAAGAACTTCTTCTTCAGTATATTCTCATATGACGAACCTCAAATACGAAGGATGTTCGAATCAGAAACTTTCAAAATTGTCGAACTTGGTGATTATGTGGTACTCATCTGGCGTGCCTGATCCATGCTAAGAACGTGGAGGTAGATCCAATCCAGCATTTTCGCGCGTAACGCACATTGCACTATAATCCATTCTTCGCGCGTACCGTTCCTCCCTCCTTGTCACAAACAAACAAAAGTGAGAGAGCAGTAATTGATCCAAATCTGCTTTCATGAAGAAATCCGCCACCAGGAAAGCCATCCACATCGGACCCACCCTCCGTAAGTCAATGTATAACGCGGCTAGCTATATCTCTAAACTTTGGATCTAAAAAGTCACGACTAGACTCACCAGATGTAATCGGCCCTGGTCTGCTTTACACACATCGGACTAACCCACAAAGGCTGATGCAACCACACCCTAATATCCTGCCGGTCACATATATTGCTCGTGGTCATAGTAGCTCCCGATTCCACGAAAGAGAGCAATCAATCCCATAAGCCACTGACATTGCTCTAAATGAAAGTTGGAATATGTTCACGCGCGCACCATTGCAAAGACTTCAATCAGCTCAGAGGAGCGGGGAAACGTTAAACCAGCCCGCAAGTGGGCCTCAGAAACAGTCCACGTACCCAGCAGGAGGGAAGATTCGGCCACATCAGACCTCCTCGGGACCATTGTCTTCACATCATTCGGAAATAATAATCTTGCGAAAAAAGGAACATGAAGTCATTGCTAACAGCTACGCTGACACATCCACCTCCTTATTTGGCCTCTGCTCGCCATTCATGCCGGCGCAACGGGTTCCCCCCGGATCGCAGGATCTCTCGGTATAGGGGCGATCACTGAACATTTCTTCTTAGAGGGAGAGGGGGAAAAAGAAAAATCTCGGAACTTTCCTTGCCAAGAGAGGGGCCTCAGAAGACTGAGGAAGGCCTCAATAGATAAGAACAGAGGGAGAAGATCTCCGAACTTCCTTGCAAGAGAGGGCCTCAGAAGACTGAGGAAGCCTCAATAGAAAGACAGAGGAGGAAGATCTCCGAACTTCCCTTGCCAAAGAGAGGGCCTCAGAAAACTGAGGGAAGGCCTCAATAGAAAGGAACAGAGGGAGAAGAGAAGAAAGGAGGAGAAGAAGAGAAGAAAAGAGAAGAGGTGGAAGAGGAGGTGGAGTGAATTTCTAAGGCTTGAAGGGCTTATTTATAGTTTGGGAGAAAGAGTGGAAGTTTCTAGAATTTTTAATTTCCAAATTTTGTCTAAATTTTTCTGATTTTTTCCGGAATTTTTTGGAATTTTTCGGATTTTTAGCATGTTTTTTTACGGCCAAAAAGGCCTAAAAAAGCCCTAAAAAATCTATTATTTCTTGCACAGGTGGGGAGGCCCACTAGGTCGGTGGGACTGAACAGACCCGCCCGTTCGTTCAAATAGGCGGTGGGAAGCTTCCAGGCGGGCTTGACGCGCCGGGCTCAGGCGGCCCAGCGGAGCCGCCACGCGGGCCGACAGCGGGCCAGGGCAGCCCGCCCGCGGGCTGCAGCGCGGCCGCAGGCGCACGGCCCAGCGGCGAGCTGCAGCGCGGGCGCGCAGGCGCGGCCCAGTGGCCCAGGCCGGACCGCAGGCGCGGCCCAGGCAGTGCCACCGCGCGGGCCAGGGGCCTGGCCCAGGCGGCCGCAAGGCGGGGTCGCCGGCCCAAGGCGCGCGCGCGCCGTGTCCAGGCGCCGGCAGGCGGTGCCGCCGGCGGCGCGGCGGCGGCCGGTTTCCTGGCCTGGTATCCGCCCCAAGTCCCATTTTGGTGGTCTCCGATTTTTCGATGTCCCGATTAACTCCCGTTGTTCGGATCTGTCGTGGTTGTTTGCTGCTCCGGACACGTTTTTTCGACGTTCTCGGACTCTAATTTTGCACCTGGTTCAGAAGCTTCTATCGTAGGCCTCTTGCCTGGGATTTTTTGCAATAATTTCAATCTTTTATTGGATGATTAGTTTCTTTTATAATTTGTCATTGTTTTTTGGTTCTGGCCAATGCTCATAATAATTTGTCTTTTGATGGATCACTTTGATATATTTTTTCGGTACTCCTTGTGTATGCTTCGAATAGCCTGTCATATTGTTTATTTATATCAGGTTTTTTGGTTATTATATGTTATACCCGAAATAGGGGATGGCAATCTTGATACGTCGGATTTTCACAAAATTAGTCTGGCAGGTGGCCTACGTGAATCTCGATATGGCATATAAGCTAGTGGAAACTAAAATTATAATTCGGGAAGCATAATGAATCCGATTTTAGCAAGCTTACTGTCGAACTTGAGCCGTCTCGGTAAATACGAACCCAACGACACAAAGATCAACCCATCCGAGCCCAAATTGAGTCCAAAATCAACGAAGTCTCAAA